AAACGCGGGTGAAGAGAGAAACGAATGCACCACGCTTCCAACACGCCCGGACGGACGGAAAGCCTCCACCTGTGAACGGGGGCGCAAAMGGAACACAAMCCCTCTCCCCCCTGGGCCCACACCCGCCAGTTGCCGCGGGCACCACCAACAGCACTCGACGCAGGCGAAACCCAGGAGACAGAGGACAGTAAGCCTTCGAAGCCCTTAACCCAAAAGCAGYGGAACCCGACGCAACGCGATCCGTCACGGTGTGCAGCATACCGAGACCACAGGATGGGGGACACGACGGGCACAAGCGCGCATTCCAAAAAGTCGGGCAGAATTACGGGACCAGCCTCGCGACGCCGTCGGAGGGTGCATCACGCATCCCACAAGTCTCCGCCCTCGCATACGGTAAGCAGCGCGTGCATGGCCGAGGCCACCTGCGCCACCGCTCAATGGCGCCGCTCGGATGGCGAAGAGCGCAGAGCATCCTCACCAAGTCGTGACACCCCCTCAACACAAACGGAACGCGCCCTTGTGAGTGCGGACACGAAGACGACACCACAACAGAGCCGCAACAGCTCTCCCCGTAACCTACGGGACGATGGTGCCGAAGCTGAGAGCCGGTGACGGGCACCTCCGCCTCCACACCCTGCAAACAACCGCCAACCGGCCCATCATCCGGCCGACTTTTTGGAATGCGCGCTTGTGCCTGTTGTGTCCCCCATCCTGTGGTCTCGGTATGCTGCACACCGTGACGGATCATGTTGCGTCGTGGTTCCGCTGCTCTTGGGTTGTGGGCTTCGAAGGCTTACTGTCCTCTGTCTCCTGGGTTTCGCCTGCGTCGAGTGCTGTTGGTGGCGCCCGCGGCAACCGGCGGATGTGGACCCAGGGGGGAAAGGGGTTGTGTTCCTTTTGCGCCCCCGTGCACATGTGGAGGCTTTCCGTCCGTTCGGGCATGTTGGAAGCGTGGTGCAGTCGTTTCTCTCTTCACCCGCGTTTCTCGATGGAGAGATGAGGCTGTGCACTTCGCTGTCCTCGGTGGCATCCTGTTGTGGGCCGAAGCTGTCGGTGGTTCCTTCGCGCGCGCCGTTGTTCGGGTAGTGTGGTTAACTTGCGATCTCTGGGTGTGGTGTGGGCGGGTGGTGTTTGCAGCCAATCTCTTGGGCGGGTGCGGCGGGCTGTGTTGGATTGTGCGGAACCTTGCCGTTGGAGATGGCCTACGGAGGGAAGTTCACCTGCAATTGAAACAGCCGGACTTCGCGGCGTCTCGGCAGATCATTGCACGTTCCACAATTGTTCAACGTTCTTTTGGTAGGCTGTCCGGCGTGACGTGCCTACGTGCGCCTCGGCCATCGCTCCTTGCGGCTGCTCGTCACACCTGCTACCTGGTTGATCCTGCCDGTAGTCATATGCTTGTCTCAAAGACTAAGCCATGCACGTCTAAGTGTGAACACTTTGCACTATGAAACTGCGAATGGCTCATTAAATCAGTTATCATTTATTTGGTGGTCTCCTTACCACTCGGAGAACCGTGGTAATTCTAGAGCTAATACGTGCAGCATATCCCGACTTGTGGAAGGGATGTAAATTTATTGGATAAAAGGCCGATCCGGGCTTACCCGTTGTTGCGGCGAATCATGGTGACTTGTCGAATCGAATGGCCTTTGAGCCGGCAATGTTCCATTCAAATCTCTGCCCTATCAACTTTCGATGGTAGGATAGAGGCCTACCATGGTGGTAACGGGTGACGGAGAATTAGGGTTCGATTCCGGAGAGGGAGCCTGAGACATGGCTACCACATCTAAGGACAGCAGCAGGCGCGTAAATTACCCAATCCTAACATAGGGAGGTAGTGACAATAAATAACAATACTGGGCTCTTTCGAGTCCGGTAATTGGAATGAGAACAGTCGTAAACTCCTTGAACGAGGATCCATTGGAGGGCAAGTCTGGTGCCAACAGCAGCAGTAATTCCAGCTCCAATAGTGTATATTTAAGTTGTTGCAGTTAAAAAGCTCGTAGTTGGATTTTGGGTGGGAGGGGTTGGTCCGCTCTTGCGGGCGTGTACCGGCCCTTTCGCCTTCCTTGCCGGGTATGCGTTCCTTGCCTTTATTGGCTGGGATCCAGAGCCGRCGCTGTTACTTTGAAAAAATTAGAGTGTTCAAAGCAGCCCTGTGCTCTGAACATATTAGCATGGAATAACGCGATAGGACTCTGGTCCTATTTCGTTGGTCTTCGGGATTGCAGTAATGATTAATAGAGACGTTTGGGGGCATTCGTATTCCATTGTTAGACGTGAAATTCTTGGATTTATGGATGACGAACTTCTGCGAAAGCATTTGCCAAGGACGTTCTCATTAATCAAGAACGAAAGTTCGGGGATCGAAGACAATCAGATACCGTCCTAGTCTCAACCATAAACGATGCCGACTAGGGATTGGCGGATGTCTATTGGATGACTCTGCCAGCACCTTGTGAGAAATCAAAGTTTAGGGGTTCTGGGGGGAGTATGGTCGCAAGGCTGAAACTTAAAGGAATTGATGGAAGGGCACCACTAGGCGTGGAGCCTGCGGCTTAATTTGACTCAACRCGGGGAAACTCACCAGGTCCAGACATAGCAAGGATTGATAGATTGAGAGCTCTTTCTTAATTCTATGGGTAGTGGTGCATGGTCGTTCTTAGTTGGTGGAGTGATTTGTCTGGTTAATTCCGTTAACGAACGAGACCTCAGCCTGCTAAAAAGCTACGCGGGGACCTGTCCTCGTGGCCATCTTCTTAGAGGAACTGTTGGACGACTAGCCAACGAAAGTTTGAGGCAATGACAGATTTTTAATGCCCTTAGATGTTCTGGGCCGCACGCGCGCTACACTGATGAATCCAACGAGTCGCTTGCCTGGGGGAAAGGCCCAGGTAACCTTCTTAAGGTCCATTGTGACGGGGATAGATTGTTGTAATTATCGATCTTGAACGAGGAATGCCTAAAAAGCGCGAGTCATCAGCTCTCGCTAATTACGTCCCTGCCCTTTGTACACACCGCCCGTCGCTTCTACCGATTGAATGGTCCGGYGAAGTGTCTGGATTGCGGTGATCTTGGCGGTTTGCCGCTGGGGTTGCTGTGAGAAGTTCATTGAACCTTATCCTTTAGAGGAAGGAGAAGTCGTAACAAGGTTTCCGTAGGTGAACCTGCGGAAGGATCATTGACGCGTAAATGGCCGATCTTCGGGGTGTGGGATGCTTGCTTGCTCGCCCTTCCACCGCCCTTTGCCCCCCTCCTCCCTGCATCCGCTTTTCTCTTCCGTTTCAGCATTATCTTGGCCTTAGTGCTCAGCTGGCCGTTGGCCCGGCACAGAGGGGCGAGTGGTGTAGGTCAAGGGTGGGGGGAGTGGGCAGGGTCCGGGGCCTTGTGGCGTTGCTCCCCCTTCATCTCGTTTCGCCTCCGCAGGTTGTTACCTCGGCCCAGCCCCACTCTCGACTTCTGGTCGGGATGGCGGTTGGTCCGGGCACGCACAACCCTGCGGGAGGGTCAAGGGTGGGATATCGGGTAGTGGCGGCTGTCCTCGGCCTGCGTACCCCCGCTCCTTCCCGTCTCAGCTTTGTTCAGACCTCCTTTCCATCTCGGCCTCGACCTCGACTTCGTGTGGAGCTTGTGGCTTGTTTGGGGATCGAGGGTGGTGGTACAGGCTTGGGGCGAGGTATGTTGCGGGGTCCTTGGCCCCTCCCTATTTCGTCCTGCCTTTCTTCCCAACGGGGTTCTCCTTTCCGGACAGATCGTCGTCCTCGACACAGTCGAGGTGGTCTGAATATCGAGGTGGAGGGCCGTTGGGGGAGGGTTTTGGTCGTGAACGGGGTGGTGTCGAGTTGGGGGGGAGGGAGGAGACAGCGCTTGCACCCTCGTTGCCCGGCTGCTCCCCGTTGCCCTGCCTGACCCCCTGAACGGTGGGTCGGGCGGGCCCGTGGCAGCAACTTGTGGCGACGGCTTTGCAACTTCTTATTGATGTACCTGCTCTGATTTKTCGCTGTCCGGGTTGACGGCTCCCTTCTGTTTTGGTTGAGGGGTCGGTCCTATCGGAACGACGCTATATTGTAGAACTCTCGGCAAACGAATATCTTCGCCCTCGCAACGAAGCAGAGCGCAGCGAAATGTGATACTGAATGTGAATTGCAGAAATCTGTGAGCCATTGATACCTCGAACGCACGTGGCGCCCAAGGCTTCTGCCCAGGGCACGCCCACCTGAGCATCATTGGATTCGTCACGACCTCAGCACCTTCCGTTTCGAAGAGTGGTGGGGTCCGTGGTCGTGGCTTCCCTCGCTTCCCACTTGGAGAGCGTCGATAGCCTAATGTGGAAGGGAATTGGAGAGCATTCCGAGCGGGCCTGTGGGGGCCGCAGCCCAGAGTGGTGCGTTTCGCTCCGCCCTATTGTTGCCCTCCAGCACCCATTTGTGGATGGTGGTCTTCGTTTCCCTGAAAACGACACGTAAGGTCGTCCCTCCGGTTTGTGTGGTCGCCGCCTTCCATTCGCTCCCATCAGCTTGAGGTGGGCTTGCGGTTGAGGGTGTCGGCCTCGAGCTGATGAGGTACGTCGGGCCTTCCCTTTTGATCTCAGGTCGGGCGGGAGCACCCCCTCAATTTAAGCATATAACTAAGCGGAGTAAGAGAAACCAATGAGGATTCCCTTGGTAGCGGCGAGCGAAACGGGAATAGCCCAGACTGAAAATCCGGGGGTTGTGTTGCTCCCTGAATTGTAGTCTTGAGAGGCAACCTCTGCAGCGGGCCGTGTGYAGGTTCCCTGGAAGGGGACGCCGAAGAGGGTGACAGCCCCGTCGACCGYCGGACCCTGCTGCGCAACGAGGTGTTGTCCAGGAGTCGGGATGCTTGGGAATGCAGCCCCAATTGGGTGGTAAGTCCCATCCAAGGCTAAATATGTGCGAGGGACCGATAGCGAAGAAGTACCGCGAGGGAAGGATGAAAAGAACTTTGAAAAGAGAGTTAAAGAGTGCTTGAAATTGCCGAGCGAGAAGCGGATGGAGGGGAAGTCGTGCGCTCCCGTCTGGGCAGGGGTGGACGGGGACTGTGTTGTCGCCCCCCTTGTTGGACGTGGGGTGCCTGCCAGCATGGGCTGYTGTGACCGGCATTGCGGTGGGGAGCGATTGAAACCCCCCACGGGTGGCCGCCACGGCAGTCGAGGACCTTGAGCACGCGCCTCTTTCGGCGGGCCCGTTCGGGTTTCTGCGTGTTGGGTATGCTGGTGAAATTCCTCTATCCTGCCCGTCTTKAAACACGGACCGAGGAGTTCAACGTGCATGCGAGCCGGTGGGTGATTAGCCCACGTGGCAGAAAAAACCTGAGTGGCGGGAACCCTCTGCGGGTGCACCGTCCGCCAACCACGATCTGCTGTGAGAGGTTTGAGTGTGAGCATGCCCGTTGGGACCCGAAAGATGGTGAACTATGCCTGAGCAGGGCGAGGCCAGAGGAAACTCTGGTGGAGGCTCGCAGCGATACTGACGTGCAAATCGTTCGTCGGACTTGGGTATAGGGGCGAAAGACTAATCGAACCATCTGGTAGCTGGTTCCCTCCGACGTTTCCCTCAGGATAGCAAGAGCTGTGGAACAGTTTTATCGGGTAAAGCGAATGATYAGAGGCCTCGGGGGTGAAACACCCTCGACCTATTCTCAAACTTTAAATAGGTAAGATTTCGGGGTTGCTTAAGCGAACCCCGAGGATCAATAAAAGCTCCAAGTGGGCCATTTTTGGTAAGCAGAACTGGCGATGCGGGATGAACCGAAAGTCGAGCAACGGTGCCAAACTGCGCGCTAACCCAGACACCACAAAGGGTGTTGATTGATACAGACAGCAGGGCGGTGGTCATGGAAGTCGAAATCCACTAAGGTGTGTGTAACAACTCACCTGCCGAATCAATCAGCCCCAAAATGGATGGCGCTGAAGCGCGCAACCTATGCTCGGTCGTCGCGGCGATTCTGACGCCGCGACGAGTAGGAGGGCGCGGGGCCTGCTGCGAAGCTTGGAGCGTGAGCCTAGGTAAAGAGGGTCCCGGTGCAGATCTTGGTGGTAGTAGCAAATATTCAAATGAGAACTTTGAAGACCGAAGTTGAGAAGGGTTCCATGTGAATAGCGCTTGGACATGGCTCAGTCGGCCCTAAGAGATGTGGAAACCTTGTATCAAGGGCGCACTGCGCGCCGCACATCGAAAGGGGGTCGGGTTAATATTCCCGAAGCGGGTTGTGGAGGTGGACAGTAACATAAGCAGCTCCGGAGATGCCAGCGGGGGCCGTGGGGAGCGTTCTCTTTCCTTCTTGACGGCTCGCCCACCCTTGAATCGGATCAACCGGAGATAGGGCCCAGTGCCCGACAAAGCACAGCGCGTCCTATGGTGTTTAGTGCGCCCCCGACGGCCCTTGAAAATCTGGAGCTGCGGCTTCCTCTCACACCCGGCCGTACTCATAACCGCGTCAGGTCTCCTACGTGAGCAGCCTTTGGTCAGAGGAAGAATGTAGGTAAGGGAAGTCGGCAATATGGATCCGTAACCTTGGGAAAAGGATTGGCTCTGAGGGCTGGGCCTAGGGGTCTGCGCCTCGATGTCGTTGGCTGCCGTTGGTCTGCCCGAGCTGCTCTCGCGGCGAGGGCGGASCCCGCGTGCCAGTGTGCCGACGGGAGTAGAATGTCTTATGTCCCCACCTTTAAGGTGGGGCCGTGGGACTCTCCCTAAGCATCAAAMTGCCGACTCAGAACTGGTGCGGACAAGGGGAATCCGACTGTTTAATAAGAACAAAGCATTGCGATGGTCCCAACGGATGTTGACGCAATGTGATTTCTGCCCAGTACTCTGAATGTCAAAGTGAAGAGATTCAACCAAGCGCGGGTAAACGGCAGGAGTAACTATGACTCTCTTAAGGTAGCCAAATGCCTCCTCATCTAATTAGTGACGCGCATGAATGGATTAACGAGATTCCCACTGTCCCTATCTACCATCGTGCGAAAACACAGCCAAGGGAATGGGCTTGGAAGAATCGGCGGGGAAAGAAGACCCTGTTTAGCTTGACTCTAGTTCGACTCTGTGCAATGAATTGAGAGGTGTAGAATAAGTGGGAGCCTTACGGCGCAAGTGAAATACCACTACTTTTAACGTTATTTTACTTATTTYGTGAGGTGGAGCCGGGGCTCTGCCCCTGCTTCTTGATCCAAGGTGCAGGCCCTCGTGGCCTGTCCGATCCAAGCGAAAGACATTGTCAGGTGGGGAGTTTGGCTAGGGCGGCACATCTGTTAGAAGATAACGCAGGTGTCCTAAGATGAGCTCAAAGAGAACAGAAATCTTGTGTTGAGCAAAAGGGCAAGAGCTCATTTGATTTTGATATCCAGTACGAATACAAACCGTGAGAGCATGGCCTATCGATCCTTTAGCGTTTCAGGACTTGAACCTAGAGGTGTTAGAAAAGTTACCACAAGGATAACTGGTTTGTGGCAGCCAAGCGTTCATAACGACATTGCTTTTTGATCCTTCGATGTCGGCTCTTCCTATCATTGTGAAGCAGAATTCACCAAGTGTTGGATTGTTCACCCACCAACAGGGAACGTGAGCTGGGCTTAGACCGTTGTGAGACAGGTTAGTTTCACCCTACTGATGCACCGCCGTCGCAATGGTAATCCAACCCAGTACGAGAGGCACCGTTGGTTCGCACAATTGGCAATTGTGCTTGGCTGAAAAGCCAGCGGTGCAAAGCTACCGTGCGTGGGATTATGACTGAACGCCTCTAAGTCAGAATCTCTGCTTGCAGCGATGGCGTATGCCTCCTCGGATGACACAAGGCTGTCGATAGGGCCAGCCGCTCTGGCCCAAGAAGCATAAGTTCGGAGTTGTCCCTTCTGCGGCGGAGAACCGACGCCCTGGTGGTCTCTTCATCGCAATTTCTTTCGCTCGGGGAGTCAAACCCTTTGCAGACCACTTAGACAGGGACCGGGGTGTTGTAAGCAGTAGAGTGGCCTTGTCGTCACGATCTGTTGAGATTCGGCCGTTTGTTCCAAAGGTTTCCCCCACCTTCTGGCTCCCCACCCCTCCTCAAATGTTTGAACGACGGTCATCCGCGTCTGAAGAGAGCCGTCGCCCTTGTATAGGGGCCAATGAGCTGCTTGCTTCCTTTTTTTTTTTCCTGTTTTGCTGCTTCCGTCTGAAGCCCCTTTTGCCCGATGTGGTACTCTACTTTCGGCTCGAAGGAGAAATGTGCCCGAGCCCATGTTGGGGTGGGTGCCACGTTGTAAGCTTCTGGCCACTGCGGCGCGCCATCTGTCCGAAAGCATGGATATGTGTCCGCGTG